TCTTGCCCTTCCCATCTGCATAGGGAAGACAATCCTCTAGGCTGGCACCTGTGTTAACAGATCAACATGTGCCTACTTTCTCCTTTTAGGGCATGTTCCCTCCATACTAATTCTCACTCTTTTCCTTTACTTTCTGGATGTTTGCATACATGAATGACTTTACAATCTCTTATATAAACACCATAAATCCATCCAAACAGTGTAGCAATAAACATCTGATGATTCAGTCAAGAGAAACAAAGTAGCATTGAAGATGGGGGGGAGAAAACTGAGAGGGAAACTTAACAATACTGTGGGGAGGGTATTACAAAGTAAGGGGAGCAGAAATCAAAAGGATGCACATTGGGAAAAATAAGGATTGACTGGAGCAAAGAGTCTCTAGAGAGGTGAGAAAAATGGGCAAGGAACATGGGGCAAGGATGATTTAACAGACTATTCCTGGATCAAGATAATAAAAAATGGCAGGTGCTGGCCAAGAATATAGGAACCTGGCAACCCAAATTGAAATTGCTGCATAGGGTAGGTGCAGCTGCTGGAAAGGGAGGGTGGCATGTCAAGTGCTCTGGCCAATCAGATTTAGAGCTGTCATTTGTCAGAAGGAATTTAAGCAGACCACCTGCTTTGAAGGGCATAAGAAGCTGATATTGAACAGAAGGGTGGATATGCAATGGCCTGGCAGTGTTGGAGAGTAAAGTCATCTGTTCAGGAAGTAATAAGTAACTCATACTAACGATAAAACAAGCAGAAAGTATGATTCTGCCCTGAATCCTAGCAACAGTGACTTTCCTAAGGTGATTTTGTGACTTTATGATTCAGCTACGATGATTCACTCCAGGACATTTAGGTAACAGCACTTCGTTGACTTTGTCAGGCTTAGAAGATAAGTAGGGCCAGATTTGGCTAAAGCCTAAATGGGAGTTCAACAGAGACTCAGGTTGGATTGAAAATTGAAAAATATCCCAGGAGAAGATAATGACAAACCACTTTCATAATGTTGCAAGAACTGCAATCTTGACCTTCTTTATCCTGATTGTGTAGAGATATTTCTCATTTAAGCTGATTGCAACACTTTATGCTAACATGTTTTGGTTGATCTATTTAGCTTAACACTGATGATCACCTCTATATCTATTTATGGAGCAAAATAAAGGAGTTAATAGATGTAAAAAATTATCTTTGGCATTATTGTTGCTTAAGTTAGCAATAAACTCTAATCTACAGTTTCTACATTAATGTTATTCACATTTAAAGATATAATTATGAAATAAGCATGGGTTCCTGATTTTACCAATTTTTGAACCTATAGCTGCTTTTAAAGTTCCTGTCAAAATTCAGACTAATTTAGGAAGTGTGCACATTCCATGACAAGATTGATGCTAAATTTTGGAAAGAAATATTGTTGATAGCTTCTGTATTTTTCTGAAAGTAGCATCAGTTTTTAAACTATTAAATGTATATTTTTTTTAAAAAAAATAGAAATATAAAGAAGAAAAGATTGGTTTTCCATTCTAAAATAAATATAATTAGATATATATTGACTCTACACACATGCATATCCATCATGCTAATTTGTTTCAGGATAAAATAATATTATACAAATTGTGGGAAGGGAAGGAAGGGGAAGGGAGATGAAGAAAAACTATTTACTTCAACACTATGTATTATACCTCATCGTTTATTTCTATCCTTGCAAACCATCCTTAGTTCCACCACATCTACATGCCAATTCGTGTATTGACTTTTGTTCTTTCAATGTCTCACCATTCTCTTTTTCAGGATCTTATCAATTACATGCTATCAGTCATTTCTCAATCCTCTCCTCCCTTTTGACTCATTAACTCATTCTTCATGTATTTGTACTGTACTGGTTACTTATTTTAAATCCATATTTAATCAATGACCACCTATTCTTGATGTTTTATCATATTTATGTAGCCATTCCCATAACATTATTTTTTTACTTGTTTGTTCTGACATGCTCAACTCACATTTTCATAAAGGACATTGGGCAGCAGTACACAATTATAACAACCATGTTGCTTCTTTTGACAAACATTTCTTTCTCACAATAGACTGCATACTACCCACCATTTTCCTAGTGGCACTTATACATCTAAAATCTCAATTTATTTTTTTACCCTCAGGTAAATATTCTGTCAAGGTACAAACATTAATCCGCTTGCTCTAGTTTTTGCCACTGCAAATTTTATTCAATTTTCCCTGTCAAACTTGAACAACTAATCTATAATATATGTTTCCATTCTTTGACATATTGCTATAACTCCCATATGAATCTCTAAAATACTACATAAATCTAGCATTTGTACCTCTCATTTTCATTCCCACTGATTTCATTTTTATTATTAATTGTATTCACTTTGTTTAGCACCTTTTGCCCAGTTCCAAAAGGATTTTTTAAAAAAATCATCAAAGTCATTCTTCATTTGTCATCCTCTTTTAATTTTAATCATTCTTTTCTCTCTTTTACTACTTTTCCTGTCTGTGCACATTATACCAGTGTAACCTTATTATGCCTTTTTCAAGTTTTGAATAATATTATTTCTCCCCCCCTCCAAAAAAAACACTTGACCCAGCTATTTTACATGAGTGTCTTGGTTCTGAGAATTCCAAACTGGATTCTTGACTGTTAAAACAATCAATTGCAAATTGCTCCACTACCTCCAGGAGTATGCCCAAATTATCCCCAATTTAAGAACCTCTGTATCAATCTATCTCATAATCTATATTATATGATTATTAATTTTGGGTGGTAATTATTTCTTAAATGCATGTTCCTCATGCATCACCTCTTTTACTTCTTCATTCCATTAAGCAGTTCCTTTTGGCCTCTGTCAATTTTTCACTTATGTTGTTGGGAAATTGTTTTATCTTAGAATATTTTTTCATACAAAATTTGTGATTTCTCTTCCTGCAGATGCTCTGATTTTACTCTAATTTCTTCTATTCTTGCCCTTTCTTCAATGTCAATTTTTCAAAAATGTTCCATTCTGGAAAAGTGGTCTGGACCACTTCTCATCAATTGTTTACTAATTATCTCAATATTTCACTGTAGACAGTAAAATCAACAATGTTTTAGCTTTATATTCATTCACTTTTTGTAATTGGAATAGATTTAATAAATATTTTATTAATCACGTATTTGTTAATGTAGTAAAAGAGTCCTTTTTCTAAGCAAGTACTGACTGGACAGTCATGATTCTTATTTAGTTTGGGGCATATAAATAATCCAATCATTTTTTTTTCAGCATTTTCTCACTTCATTCCAGTCACCCACTCATACATATCATCTAACAAAATATTTTTTTTCTGGATTGTACTTATTGAAAACATTGCATATCTCCCCAAATATATATTTGATTTTTCCCCCTTATCATCTTTTAACAGAACAAAAAGTAGAATTACTATCAACCTATAGATTCATATTTAGACAATACCATTTTATACTTTTTAACATTAATTTTATTTTTAATCATAGTTAACTTTAGCACTTCATTTCCCTGCATGTATTCATCACCTTTATGCCATACGTTCAGATCATTTTCGGAAAAATAATCTCTGACATTCTTTCTATTAATTCCAGTGACACAAATCATACTGTTTTTCTTGTTTTCTTTAGTTTCCTTCATTATTCCTTTCACTGTTTATTCCAACTACATTTCAAGTTGACATCTTTGATATGCCAATATTATCACCAGTAGCATTCAAAACAAACTGCAATTATGCCAACATGACAATATGTGCACTGTAATGTACTCATATAAATGCTGTGATCAGATATTTGTATCCTAATGTCTGACGCAAGTATGAAATAATGGAATTTGCATGACTGTTACATGATTTTATCATTTGCCATCTTTGTCTCCTGCAATTATGTATGTCATCACTCAAAGGACTAACATATATTGATCTCCACTCCTTATTATGGCTTTGGTCAACAAAGACTTTCACAGGATGCTTTTTAGTAAGATAAGGAAGTGTAGACTAAGGTATTAGCCTTAGTTATATTAGTGTTGCATGCAGCATATGGTCTTGATCAGTGGTTCTCAACCTTTTTAATGCCGCGACCCCCAACCGATCGTAAGTCGAGGACTACTCAACCGGTCATAAGTCAAGGACTACTCAACTGGTGCAGCACCATTTGCAGAATGGGACTTTTGGTGGCTCAGCAGAGCAGAGACAGCCTGGACAATTCCTATTGGCTTTTGAAAGCCAATAGAATTAGACTCTATTCAAGAGAGTCTATTCTATTGGCTTTCAAAAGCCAGTAGAATAAAAGGGAGTAGCACAGCTAAGGAAAAGGGGAAAAAATGGCGGACTGCATTGTTTGGCGACCCCCGTGAAATGGTCATTCGACCCCAAATGGGGTCCCGATCCACAGGTTGAGAACCACTGGTCTTGATGGTATCGCATAGCTTTCAAACATTTTAGCTAAAATACCAAATTTTATCTCAAGTATTTGAAAAGATAAAAAGTGACAGTTAAGAAAGATGATATAGTATTGAATGACAGAATGAGGAAGAAAACAAAAGTAAAAATGAGAATTAAAAATAAGAAAAAGTGTAAAAACAGTATGCAAGGGAGAGCCACAGTTAATGATACCAATAACTTATGCCTGTTGCAAATCTTGAATTGCAAATCTTCAATTTATCGTTATTATAATGATTCAGTTAATTTTTGTAATCACTGATGTCTACCCAGTTCTAGAAGTTTTGCTTTCAGAATTTCTTCCCTCCCCTCATTCAGCAAAAACATTTCTAAAAAATTGCATTTAAAGAAAAGGATAGGGAACTCAAGATCTGCCAACATTTTTTACAAATGTTTATCTCTTTATCCAGAACATTTAGTTCTATGAAATATAATAAACTTAATAATCCTATCTCATTTTTTAAATAAAAACTTATATGCCAGCCAGAATTGCAAACACTATGCAATATACAATTGTCAGTAAGTAAATAAATATAAAGAAATGAACATCATTGTTAGAAAGCATACTTACTTTCAAGTATAATTTTTCTACCAGTCCAATCATCTTTAATAAGTTGTATGTTTCCAAAATGTGCATCACTAAAGAAAATTCGATTAGTTCCTCTTCCTTTCTGTCTATAGTCAAAAGTCAATGCTATTACATTTTTGAAATATTCTGGATTTTCATAAGGTTGCACTGGTGAATTTAAATTTGTCTCATCTGAAAGATGTATAGTTTTTAGTATTGTTCTTCCTGAATAAAGCAAGTAGCCACCATGTCTTAAACATGTCACACCATCCTCTGCTAGATAACCATGTGCACAAGCACAGGTTCTCTGTGCATTTCCCCGATAGAGACAAAGTTGCTGACACCCACCATTGTTTTTGGCACAAATGTTGGTTCCTATAGGGAAAAAAGGAGAATACAGTATAAAAATAAAACATATAAACATAGTGTATTCTATTATATCATGCTTAATTTTCATATTTAATTCAATTCATGTGTCAAAAAAGAAATTTAGTCTAGTAATTAAAGCACTAGGTTAGAAAACAGGAGACTGAGTTTTAATCCTGCTATATTCAAGAAAAACCTCTGAATAACTTTGGGCCAGTCACTCTCTCTCAGCCCAACTCACTTTAGAGGAATGTTGTTGTAAGGAAAATATGAACAGCTGAAGGAAAATTAGCTATGTTTGCCACTTCTTTGAATAAAAATAATATAGGCAGGATAAAAAAAATCTAAATTTATATCTAAAATGTTATTAAACTTGCATTGACAGTAATAAGCTAATTTTAAGCATTTTAAAGTATTGAATAGATTTTTATTCAGAACTAGATCAGCTTCTGTAGAAGCAGAAGCAGAAAGATAACTTTCTTAATATCCTGTTCCTGTATGCACATCTACTGTTCACAAATCTATTCTTTGAGAAAGTGGGAAGTCTAAGGAGGGAATGTGAGTGAAATACTGAAATTTTCCCTCATATTTTCTGTCAGCGTGATAACGTGCTGGATCTAAATATTTGTGTGTGAAGGAAGCCTGCTTTTCTGTATACAAGAAGTAAAAGAACACACACACACACACACACACACACACACACACACACACACACTGATACTTTTTTTTTTTTTATTGAAAATTTTTAACATTTTACAAAATAAATCCCCTCCCCAAACCCGCCCACCCACCCATACCCTCCCCCAGCCCCAAACCTCCCTAACCCTCCCCTGAACCTCCCAGAGTTGATTACAGGCTTATCCAAAATATTTCAAAAGAAAAAAAAGAAAAAAAACTTAAAATACATATAAAACTTAAAACACCTATAAATCCTAAACAATCCTAAATACCTTAAATTAAATGAATTATTTCTAGAAAATAATAATAGACACATTATAATATACTCTAAAAATCTTCTAATCTTACTTATCATATTATCCATCCTTCTACATAAATTTCTTCCAAGACCAATTTTAAACACTACTTTCTTTAAACATCTATAACTACAATATAAAGTCTAGCATAAATCATAAACAAATCTAAATACATTTAGTTAAACAAGTTATAGTCCCTCCAAAACACAAATTTAAACAATCAGAACTTGAAACATTAGAACAAACAAATTATAATCAATCAAAAACACAAATCTGAACATTACTTAAAACTTTAAACATTAAAAACCCCACCCAAACACTAAACACATTGTAATATACTCCAATCCTTCTAATATCATAAATATTATTATCATTTTCATAAACTCCCCCAAAACACAAATTTATACATTACTTAAAACTTAAAGAAGGAAAAAAGGAAACAAGACACCTTTATACTCATTTAAATCTTATCAGATTCCATCCAAAGTAGACAGTTTATAACAAATTCCACCCACAAAAAACACTATAACAAATTCCATCCACCATAAACACAATAGATATTCAAATCTTCATCAATAACAAGTTGCAACCACAAAAAACCCAGTCCTTATCAATCTCAATTGTCCATTTTCATTCTCCATTCATTATCATACTGATATTATTATCGTCAGCCTCGATTGTCCATTTTCGTTATAAAGCTTAAAACAAATGCTTTAGGATCTGTCCTCAAAAGCTGCTCCAAATTTTCTGAGTCTCCCAATGACTCAGAAGCCAGTACATGTGGGGATTCCTTAAGCTCCTTATTCTGTTGGTCTTTTTCTTTACAATTATATGTTGCACAGATTTTCCTCTGCCCCTTCTTCTCAACTTGTTGACGCCCCTCAGGCTGAAATTTCCCCTTTTTCATCTCAAGTAAGCCTTCCATCCTTGAAGATTGCTCCAAAGGATTTATGGGTCTTGCTTCTCCCACAGAATCAGCAATCACTAGGTGTGAAATTTCATTACTCTTCTTCAGTTGCTGCTTTTCTTTACAGTTTTGTGCTAGACAGGTTGTCTCCTGCTCCTCAATCTGAACCTGTTGAGATCTCTTAAACAGGGGTTGCCCAATTTTAGAGTCTTCAAACTGTAATTCTACATCCATTTCTTCCAAAGTCTTGAACTTAATAGATGGAGATGAACATACCCCCAATACTGAAGTATAAAAATCTTTTGCTTGAGAAACAGTATTAAGTCTATAACATATTCCCAGGTAATTCACCACCATTCCAATCGGAACATCCCATCTAAACGAAATTCGTCTCATTTTAAGTTCATTTGCTAAAAAGGCAAACTCCTTTCTTCTTCTTAAAATTTTAGATGGGATCTCCTTTAAAATTATAACATCTTGTGAAGCAATTTGAAATCTCTTCTTATAAAAAGCTTGTATAATTTCATTGCGTAAAGATTTCTTCCCAAAGTAAATTACCACATCTCTTGGCAAATTCTTTTGTACTGCCACCGCAGAATTAACTCTAAATAGTTTTTCAATTTCACTAAGTATTCCTTCTTTTTCTTTATTCAAAATTACAGCAAAGTCCTTTGCAACCATCTCTTTCAGATCTTCTTGCAAGGACTCTTCCAAGCCCCTAATTCTTAAGGCGTATTCCATTTGACCATATTGAAGCATAAGAATCTCATTTTCCATTTCTTTTTCCATACTTTCAATTTTCCCCTCCATTAATTCCACTTTTTCAGCTACTTCTTCCACATGGGAATTCAACTTTTCAAGAACAGAAGCAACTCCTTTTAGAGCCAAAACTATGTCTTGCCTCAAAATCTTATTATTTTCTTCCAAAATCTTTTTCATTTCTGCCCTAATTTGAATTGTAAAATTTTCCATCATTTGTTGCATATCCTTCACAGTTGTTGGCTGAGCCACAGAAGATTTAGGAACTGTGAAATTCACTGGACGCTTTGGAGCCATCTTTAAAAAAAAACTTTACTCCTTCTTAAAAATTACAAAAATTCCTTCAAAAGAAAATCATAACTCCCTCAAAGAAAAATCTTTAAAATAATAAGAAAAATAAAAGAATAAAAAAAAAGGGAGTTAGAAAAGAAGAAAAAAAAATAAAAAAAATTAAGATATACAAAATGAAAAAAAAAAAAAAAGAGGAAGGAAAAAACCAGAATGCCTGCCCTTTAAAAATACAAGAGACAAAACCACAAATCAAACCAAAACAAAAAGTTAAAGTATACACTCCAATCATTAAAGTAGGAAAAAAAAAAGGGGGGGGGGAAAACCAAAATGCCTGCCTTTTAAAAATAATGCCTGCCCTTTACAAAAAGCAAAACAAAAAATACAAAAGACAAAGCAACAAATCAAACCAAAACAATAATAATACTTCTAAAATCCATCATTAAAAAGAAAAAAAAAGGAGAAAGTAAAAAAATGGGCCAGTGGATCTGCGTTGGGCGATGGCGGCTACTTTCTAGCCGTCCTCCTGGGTAAGTGTAATGAACCGCTATGAACAGCAGACATCAGCTGTTCAGCGGTTCAAAATCCCCCTCCCGGGCAAAGGGGGGGGGCAGAGGGTAGTCTGAATAGTGGTAGAGCCTCTTATGTACCCCCAATTTTCCTTTTTTGGGGGTGATAGAGTGCTCCCACGGAGTTCAGACTGTCTCCGCTTCCCAGCTGCTTTTGTCCTTGGGACAAAACAAGCCCTCGCAGCCACCTCCGCGTTTAAAATGATCTAGTGAGTTTTTTTTAAGAAGCGGACAGAGTTGTTTAGAGGATTTATTTTTTTGCTTTCCTTGACTTTATAGGTATTTTAAATTTAAAGGTTTATTCTTTTGTTATAGTCTTTCTTTTTATTTTTTGCTTTTTGCTGAAAGGGAAAGTAAAATGGCGATCGGCAGACTTTCTAGCGTTTTTTTTTTTCGGAAAGTTAGAATGGCGATCGGCTTTTTTACCTTCTCTCTTTTTTCTTTCTTCTTTTTAAGGAATTTTTGTTGTTTAATTTTCTAAACATTATTGTTCTGGTCTGATTTTTTGTTTTTGCTTTTTGTATTTTTAAAAGGCAGGCATTTTGGTTTCCCCCCCCCTTCTTTTTTTCACTTTAACGATTGGAGTGTATATTCTAATTTCTTTTATTGATTTATTTTTCGCCTTCTTTGATTTTATTTTAAATCCAAAGGTTTATTGTTTTGTTTATAGTCCTTTTTTTCTACTATTTGCTTTTCTGTTGAAAGAGAAAGCAAATGGCGATCGGGAGATCTTCTAGCGTTTTTTTGGGAAGCTAGAGTGGCGATCGGCTTTTTTTTTACACTGATACTATTACAACTGAATAACACAGATAATTTTGGCACTGTTGATATTTGTTATGTGTTATTTTCTGTACAGTGCAGTTGCTTAACCTTCAGTATTTTAAAAAAAGCATTTGTGTTCATTGAAATAATTAGCATTCAGTGAAAACAAATAGCACAAATTAGTTGTTATTGTTATTTGTGCTGTGGGGTGGGGTGGGAATATTTTAAAGGGGGAGAAATTATAAGCACATTTTTTAGGAAAACTCAAAACTGCAGTTTTTATTTCTTTTATTTTTATTTTATTCCAGTGCTTGAAGGCAGCCAGACAACAGCAGATTCAACACCACTTTTAAACAGATATTAAGCCAATATACTGTTGCCAAATCGTCATTTTTTTTTTGCCAAATATAATTTCTTGTGCATTTAAACTATGCAAGAATTAGTAGGGAAAGTCTTTTATGGCTTGAACATTGCTTACTGCTGCAAATCAGAGAGTTGATAAAGCTAAAGCTATAATATTATTTCATAGTGGTATTTAGTTTGACAATGCCTTGTTTCTGAGACTCAAGAGATTTTTCAATAACTTAATCACTAAAATCTTTAGTCAAGAATGGGAGAATTGTATTCCACAGCATGTGAGCGTACAACATCTGGCATTTAGGTATGAATTCCAGGCGTTCGGATTCTTATATGGTATGAGGGATAGATTACATTTCCTCTCTCCAGTATTTCTAATTATACACAGCATCTTTTCTTGTAAGACAAATAGATATTTGATGGTAATTGATCGTATTACTATGAGCCTGTAGTGACTGTAATTTTCATGTACATGTACTATAGGGACCTCACAGGAAGGAAATTTGAAGGTCCTGTTGTACAACACCCTGCCCAGGAATACTCAGATCATTTCAGACAAATAGCTGCCCAATCTTTGCTTGAAAACTTCCAATGATGACAAACCAATAACTCCAGAAGGTAGGCATAATAGCCCTCACAGTCAGATATATCTCCTTGTTCCAGTTTTGAATCTCTCTTAGTAAAACTTCTACCCAGTGATTTTTGTTCTACCTCCTGGGCACTATGGAGAAGAAATTCACATCCTCTTCCTTATGATATTCATTCAAGTATTGGAAGACTACTCTTTGTCCTCTCTTCTTTAGGCTCAACATACTTAGTTCTTTTAACTACTGTTTATTGGATGTAGCCTTCAAGCACACCATCATCTTTCACTCTTCATTGCACTATTTCAAATTTCTCAATATACCGTAAATGCCGGCGTATAAGACAACTTCCGCGAGTGCTGAAATCGGCGCCAAAGACGGGGGTCGTCTTATACGCCGAATCGTCTTATACGCCGGAAATACTGGTAGTTTCCGGCGTATAAGACGACGTTCTAGGAATGCGGCCCGGCTATAAAGACGGGGGTCGTCTTATACGCCGGGTCACCTAATACGGCGGCATATACGGTACTATTTCTGTTGTAGAGGTAAAAAGACATAGTGTTCCAATTGTGGTCCAACCAATGCAGTTTAAGTAGAAATATTAGTTCTTGTGATCTCAGCATTATATCTATGTTGATGCAGGCCAAGATTACATTGTCTATTTTGGTAACTACAGCATACTACTGATTCATGTTTAAACTATGGTCTTTTAGGACACCTAAATCCTTCTATTTCACAAGTACTACTGCTGAGTCTTGTCCTAGCTATATCTGTGCATCTGATTTTTGTTTCTTATTGAATTGCAGAACTGTACAATTCTTACAATTGAATTTCAATTTTTGGGAAAACTCCTATGTTCAAGATCCTTTTAAACTCTCCTCCTGTTTTCTGAAATGTTAGCCATCTCCTACGGCTTTGAATCATTTTAAGTATGTGTTTGTGTTGTTTTAATTTTTTTTCATAAATGGATGAAACTCATCTGTATGGTTTCTAAGCTAATGCCAATATGCCAATATGGAAAATGTAAATCATTCATTTATTTCAGAATTCATTATGGTAAATAATAGCATCATCACTACAGTATCTCCACATGTACAATCAAACACTTAACTCTACAATAAGAGTTACCTTTTTCACGACCTCTGTTGAAAACCTTTACTTCCTTCAAGTTTATTCCTAGGCCTGTCCTCATGGATACTGTCTCTGTGGCATCATTTTTTTTGCTTCGTCTGATAGATCCATTTGCATGAGCTCTGCCAAAAAATGTTGAAGGTATCTGACCCATAGTTCTCAACTAATTAAAAGTGAAAGAGACATTAATATGCAAGGAACATATGACCTAACAGAAACTGAAGAAACTGTGGTGTTTTGTTTTTAATTTGCATTGTTGATATAGTTTAGCTATGCTGAATATTAAAAAGCCTTTTAAAAAAACCCTCTCACTATGTGAGATCTTTTTAGTGATATTAGTAAAGAACTGCTATTTCTATAGGGGTGAAATATCCAGCACAGAAGTAACATTTTGAAACACAAATACTTATAGAAAAATAAATTACCTGTCAGACCAGTAGATGTAAGCCCCAAAGACTGTGACTGAAAACATATCCACATTACTTCCTGACAGTACAATCTCCCGATTTCTTCCACTCTCAAGGTCAATTCTTTCTATCTTGTCCATTCGAGCATCACACCAATATAATTTATTTTCCTAAGAATCAATCAAAAAGTAAACTCCAAACATTTTATCCTATTTTTAATTAAGGCAATAAAATAGATTGTGATATTCATACTTTAGCATAATGTAGCATAAATTATGTGTAGAAAAAATAGGAAAATTCACCTCAAGATCAACAGAAATTCCATTAGGCCACATGGCACCAGTACCAACAAGAACAGTCTTCTCTGAACCATCTAAACGAGCCTTGCCTATACATGGTGCCTGTCCCCATTCTGTCCAGAATAAATAACTAGAACATGAAAAAATATTATGATCAAAAATAGGTTTGTTGAAACTAATGGGTTGGAACAGAAGGAAATTTGTGGAAGTTTTCATCAGCACCACCCTTCATTCCCCACATAGCTACCCATAAATATAAGAGACATCCTGAAATGACTTAAAAGAGGGGAAAAGATCTTGTAGAAAAATTAAAATAAGCCAAGTTCCGGAAGAAAAACCCTGATGTAAATATTACAACTTTATGAAGGTAGCATTTTTCAGAGATAAATAGGTAGACCTATAAAATATTTCCATCTTTTTTAAAAAATGAAAAATTGCTGATGTCTATTCGTTTGAGTTATTGCACTTTTTTCCTTCTAATATGTTCATACGTGCTTTTATATCTGCAAATATACTTTGTGATTTTTTGTTGTTAATCTGAAATGTGAAGCTCAGCTTGTAAAACTTTCATACTGATGTATTCCTGATCAATTCTAAATAACATGGTTTTGAACCCTCATCCACCCCTGACAATTTACTGAGGAAAGATAGAGACATATCTGACATCAGGTTGCATTTCTGACAACCTAAAAAAAAAAATTCTGATCCCCCCCCCCATTCCTCCAATTAAGAATCACTGCATGCCTAACATCATATCTCCTGACACCAGAGCTGTAACTGACTATGTCCCAAATTATGGAGACACTGTTACTTTACCAGTATTCCATTTCTCCCCATGATACAAGCATTATCTCTACTAGAGGTGGCAGTTCACCCCTTGGACCACTCAATGAATTGGCTAAGAATTGTTCATAATTGAATGACCCTGATTTCTAGAGAGGGCATGGAAATGACCTTGGAGAGAGCAGCCAGAAAATATTAGAAAAATAACAGGTGCAGAAGAAGCAAGTGTAAGCCCAGATGGAGGGAAAAGAATGAGAAAAAGACAGACTGACTCCCCCAACTTCTTTGGATATATGAGGGAGGGAAGAAAAAACACAAACAGACTTGCAAGATTCTTTTATTGCAGCCTATCTCAAATACAGTATAGTTTTAATCTTTCTGTGATCAGTTTCTTGATCTGGTCTATCTCACAGGAGCTGACAGTTTTCTGGAATATTGTAGGATGAGAGAAGATGGATTAACCTCTTCATTTCTAGATTTGCTTTGTATTTATAGCTTAATTCTGTAGCAGGATAATACCAATACTTGTAAGGTAGTTACATTTAAAGCTGGGCTCTTATTAAATAGAAACACCTTCTCTTTATTACATTTTCTGCTAACCAACCCCAGAGCAATGAGGGTATCAATGGAGCTAGACTCAGCCACGGGAGTTAAATAGACTGCAACATAGGCACTAATGGTAGAATTATCATTAGATAGTCTTCCTAGCTTGGGGAACACCTAACTTCCTAAACTTTCTATTTAGGAAGCTAGTTACTTGCTCAATACATGATGGCAAACAGTGCTTGGAGATTAGGTTCCAGCAGCTTGACAGGAAAAGTTTTATAGCATACAATATGGATTTTCCTTTTCTATTTGCCAGTCTCCATGTGAGATGACGTGTAGCATCCCTCACTAGCCCTTGGTTTCTCACTCAGAGATTCCTAAACTAATGGAATTAAAGAACTGAGACTTAATGCCACTATGAAGAGAAGTGCCAAATGGTGCTCCTGTCTTGGTGTCTTGGTGTCTCACTTCAACAATTTCATTACAAATGCATGGTGATTGGATTTAATCAGCGGTGGAATTCAGCTGATTCACACCACTTCGGTAGAAGTGGTAGCTAATTTTTTGTTGCCCAGGCCCAGAATGGACTTCCGGAAGCGGCATCCACACAGAGAACCAATTGTTCTCATTTTTGAATCCCACCCCTGGATTTAATCCATATGATTTTACATGTTTTTATATGTTTTTGTATTTATTTTGGTGGCGTTATTTGTGTTGATTTTGCTGTAAGTCTATCTGAATCATATATTTGATAGAGGCATTAAAATAATGAAAAAACCCCCAAACATTTCCATCTCTGAGAATGAGATAAGATAAGATGAGATGAAGTGAGGTGAGGTGAGGCAGGGCAGGGCGAGGCGAGATGAGATAAGGTAGGATAAGGTAAGGTAAGGTAAGGTAAGGTAAGGTAAGGTAAGGTAAGGTAAGGTAACTAGATTAATCAAAAGAAAAGAGAGTCTCTAGTACTCCCAGTGGCAAAGCTTCTTTAAAGAAACACATTGACTATATCCTATTATGTCTGTCCATATTATATTATACTATATTATAGTATAAATAATTAAACTTTTAAATGTTCATTATCAACTTATTGAGTACATGAAGAACAAGTCTTCAAGGGCTGTTTCTCCTAATCATTTGGAAATACTGAAATAAATCTAGGTCAAAAATTTCATGTCAGTATTAACTGTGCTGCCTTTTTAATGTAATCTTGTAATTGAAGATGCAACAAAATATACCATTTAAAGTGATTTTTTTGGGGAGAGCTAAAGGAAATTTATGTATATCAACAGCCCATAAAACAGCATGGTAAACTAGATAAACATGATTTTATTTATGCTATTGTTGAAGCTATATTTTAAAGCTTTAATGGTTTGTGGGCTAATGTCAAATTTACACTGTAGCTCCTAGATCTATTTTACACACTATTCCTCATTAGCTTTCAATATTTTAAGATACTTTTTAAGAAATGTATTCACTTGCATGCATATCAATTATCAAGTTACCCTTTTCCAGGGTGCACTGCTATAGACCTTGGCTGATCCAGACCCTGAGATATGACAACATAGCGAAAGGAGCCATTAAGCCTAGAAACTTCAATAAAATTGAAGCCATGATCTGTCCAATATATATTACCTGGAAGCAATAAGAAAATGCAGTTATGGAGACATAAGGCTATCATTAAACATATCAGTTATGACTACAAAAAATAAATAAATACTAATATCAACTTTTCACAAATTAAATTACTAAAAAGCAAAATCAGTGGGCATATTTGTACTATTCTATTTGAATAAGCTTTCTTTCTGCAAATTTCCTTATGTTAAAAATACATCTACACCATGATGGAACAATCTATGGTCTGGCAAATCACATGACCCCTTTTTGTCAACCTAAAACCCAATTTTGACAGCCTAAGAATCCCCCCAATATTTAATTAGTTAAAATATGCATCACCATTTTTGACAGTGCAATTTTTCATATTTGTGGGGACACAGGGTAAAAAAATTGAGTAAAAAAATTATTCCCTTAATGAATTAGTCCCACTATCACCATATGATTGGCTAAGTGATTTGTATTTCTTGGAGAATTTAAAATACAATACAATCAAATAAATAGTACAGTTATCAGAAGAAAACCATCCCACATCCTATGAAGAGACAAAAAGTCTCCGCTTTAAAAAAAAAAGGACTTCGATTTTTGTTATACTACTAAATAAAATTCCATTTTCTTATATTATTTGGTAATTTATAAATGATTATAAATAATAAAAATAATAAAAAACCTACCCGCTATCCAATCCACTGCAATGCCTTCCACTCTTCCCAAACCATTTGTAATGATATCTTCCTTCCATGTCTGATCTCTGCTACCTCTGCTTATTTTATTGAATCCCATGTCAGTCCAGTAGATTGTATCATTTCCTATAGAATAAATATTTAAAATACTGTTTCCAACAATATCTTATTCACTGGGCATACTCGGATCTTTTAGTTTGAAGTGCTTCTATATCATTTTTATTTTTGAAATTCATCTTTACTCTTTCCATTTGTAAATGTTTGGGTATAAAGTTTACTGAAAATCAGTATATATGTCATATATATGTCTCCCCCTTTTTACATTTTTTGCAACTATTTTTCTTAATATAGATCTATGTAACTGAGAACAAAGAATAGTAATCTTGTGTAAGTTTGAGACTTCTAAATTTACAGTGCTTTTATAATTAAAACATATATTTACCTGCATGGAAGTCTATACCAACAGCAAAAGATGTTCCTGTTATAGGCATTAATGCATCTGTTTTGTCATTTGGATCAAGAGGTATTCCCCTGATTCCTTCATGAATAGAATACAAGAGAAACGACTCTATACCTAAAGAAAAATAGTATTTCAAAAATGTTGATATATTATTATTATGATATATTATAACAAGCAGTTATAAAAATAACCAGATATCTGAAGCCAAAAGACAACCTTCTGGCTCTTAATTAGTTGTATTATGATGAGGTGGGAGGGATCATCAAGATATCAAGAAGGAAAATAGAAAAATCAATGTAGAAAAAATAGAATCTCATTAAAAGCTAGTACAGGTAGCCCTCAACCTATGATCACAATTCAGCCCCAAAATTCCACTACTGAGTAAGGCAGTTGTTATATGAATTTTGCCCATTTTATAATCTTTTTTGCAAAGTTGTTAAGCCATCACATGGTCGTTAAGAGAAACCAGCTTCTCCCATTGATTTTGTTTGTCAGAAACTGGGTGGGAAGGATGACCCTCATGAGATCTTATTATATCTTTTTGGAATTGTAACCTGCATCTGTCTAAATATACTCTTAAGAAGCTTGATTCTACTATCACATACTTCTGCTAAATATGGACTTCAGTGAATGAACTGAGATTTTAAGCTTCTAACCATGATTATGTCAACATTCTTGCAAGAAAATTGATGTTCAAGTCATCAAATTAATTTTAATTAAGAATTTGTCCTAGGGATATAATTTGAAAAACTGATTAGATTTTTATTTATTTTATCATTAATAAACTGAAATAAATTATTTGATTTTGCAACTATTTTAAATAATGATTTTAGTACCCTTAAATGATTGTGCAAATATTCTGCTTTTACCTCTGTCAATTTGTATCTCAATAAAATACAACACAGATTAAAAAAAAACACCGTGGGGGGATGCAGACACTATTGGTTATACCTATTTTTGATGCGCTGAATGTTTACATTTTGTGGGCAGATTATATCAATTACTAATTCTAGAATTATACAACCAAAGATTATGTAAGTTTATTTTATAAACCTAACAACAAAATTAGTAAAGAACTGAGTCTATTCATTTAAAAAAAACCCTAACCAACCTTCAGAAAACACAGTCATAAAGACCCAGAGCATGATATTTTTTTTTCCACTATCAATAATACATTTGACTTTTGGGATTACTAAATTTGTATTTTGAGTTCTTTTATTTAGCCCCTGAAAATGAATAAATGATTATACCTTGACATGTCATACGATTTTTCTGAAGATTGTAACCTACAGTACATAAGCATGTTCGAGTGGATTCTGAAGTTGGTAAGCAAAGTTGGGAACATCCTCCATTATTGATCTGACAAGAATTGCTACCTATTAAAATTACAGAAACAATGAAGTTTTACAATTTTTTATAAGGTACCAATGATTTCATTACATTACATCTTAGTAGGTGGTAGTAGCTAGAAGCAACTGATGAATCTTGTTTGGATTTGAAAGCTAAGCAGCATTGTGTATGATCAATATTTGTTTAGAGGACCTCCAGGGTATAGTTTAGCTGTAGGTATGGATATGTAATGAGCAGAAATCAAACTCAGTTTGAAGAAGACCTTACTAATTAGTTTCATACAGAATTCGTAAAAAATAGGTCATCTGCCCTGTTACATAGGGTATGCCTGACATACCTTTCTTTTTTGAAGTACCAATAGCAAATTACCTATAGTTGTTCACCATTAGAAATTCAGAATTTTCTCTAAGTGGTTGCCCATAGAATAATAAAATTAGCTCAAAAAGGCTTGTTTTTTATTAAATAGGAAGAGAAAGTACACATTTTCATTAACACTTTGAGCTATAACCATAAGCTGAAAGGATAACTTTACAAATGTGAAAGTCAGTTTTCAAATAATTTGACTTAAATGTGGAAAAGTTGGAAGTAAAGCCTTCTTTTTTCTTAAAGTAAGGCCCAAGTAACCCATTGCATAAGTCAGGGAAAGAAGAGTTTGAAAGCTAGATTTATAAATAGGGTTTCTATCTGAAATCCTCAGTTGTTTGAATTCTCTTGTTATAGTTTTATACAATAATAAATTGGGGGTTATATATTTTGGTTATATATTTTTTATAACTTAACCCCATTGTTCAGGTTTTTTTTTGTTAAAGTCAGATCTCATTGCATTGAGCTTGGAAATAGTGGTAAACTCTTCATACCTCTCTCTATATGTTGATTGGAGATGAGGAGTCATCATCCAGTGTCTGCATGGGTGAATCAGACAGGCCTTAACATTTTTGCATAGTCTCTCAAAACTTACAACCTTGAATGCAATTACAGTCAGGCTTCAGCTGACAAGGTAGGACTACTATAGCAAATTGGGGCTCTACATGTGACTCCTCTTGAAAACATCCAGAAAATACAACTAGTTCTGAATGCAGCAATGTGCACAGTTCTAGGCATCCTAAGCTTTGTCCTTGTTACAATGCTATTGCATGAATTGCACTGGATTTCAATTGCTTTCTGGGTGAAATTCAAGAGGCTGGATTTTACCCTTACATGTCTTCTCACCATAGGGCTAGGTTACTTACTTGGTTTTTCTTAATGATATCTGCTGGGTATAGAGTTCCTTTAAATATTGTCACCTAGTGGGACCTTGGAGATGTGTCCTTGGCTACCCCTGCCTTTTGGAACTGAGTCCCATCTGAGATCCGGGGAGGCTCTACCCTTATAGTTTTCTGAAAGGATGTAGTATGGGTTCTTATTGCATGTTGGTGGGAAGGGTATCATGTGTTTTATGCTATAGTTTTTATTGGTTGCCATGAGCCCCCTAGGATCACCGTGTGAGCTAGGCAGCCAAGTAGATTAAAAACTATATATTAAATAAACAAAAATACTTGTCACTAGTTATTGATTTCTTATGAGCTTGCCTAATTGATTCTAGTCCCAAATAGTCAGCTGAAGCCTGAATGTAACTGCATTCAAAGTTTTGAGAGTATGGAGAGATTTTCAAGCCTGCCTGATTCATTCATCCAAAGACTGGATGATGATGTAGATGCCTCAACTTTTTCTTACCAATCAACATATAGAGAGATTAATAGAAATACCATTATTTCCAAGCTCAGTGCAAGAAGCTCAACTTTAACAAAAAAACTGTACAACTGGGATAAGTTATAAAGAATATATAACAAAGAATATATGTAGAAGATACTTTAAGGTAGATAATAAACTAAGCAATGATGTATTTGGTTTTAATTAAGACACTAGAGCTAACATCAACCAAATTGTTCTGCAAAGCAATATTAATAAACACACTACATCCTCTTTCAGTTGTTCCAAAGCAAAATGTTCATGAATGCATAGAGCACTTATATCAACAGAAACCCCCAAGCTATAAAGATAATTATTATAGAAAGGTAGGTAATTATTTTGTTTTGTTTTGTTTTATCTTCCAGTAGTTCTCTGTCATTACCACTTAATGTCATAGGGCTTTCCAATAATTTGGAAATTTCTGGGGGCACAGATGACTATGGAAAAAGAAGGAACTAGTAAAAAACTTTAGTTCACGGGAGCTGAAGTATATTCCTCCATAAAGAGATTTATGTATTTTATTATTCAAAAACTTAATGTGAGGTTTACCTTTCTGTCCTGCTTTGTCATATACTTTCATATGTACAATTCCTGAAGTTTTGTTTCGCAAAACTGTAGGATTCCTTCCATCTTTTTTATTGCAAGTGCCCAGTTGGCCTAAGTTATGGTCTGCCCACCATAACTTTTTATCTGTAAAAATTAAGCAATTTCATTTTTAAAAAAAACTATTTAAATTAATAAACATATCATATACATAATTATATACATACAAAACAATGAATTTATAAAACTAGAAAAAAAAACCTGAAAAATGCAAGAATAGTAACATAGAAAGCACACAGCAGAAATCTAATCAGCAGATGATTTAAGTCATGGATCATGAGGCTATGTTATTCTAGTCTATTATGGCCATCCATGCTACAATGCCACCTATTCCCCTAACAATTTTGAATCAAGGACAAGCCTCAAACACACTTCTGTTGCTTTGAAGGGAGTGCAATCTTAGTTGCAAAAGTCTGTTCTCCTATTTCTCAAACTGAGACCCACCTAAACACAGCATTTCCATCTTATCTGTATCCAGCTTCAGTATTAGTTTTCCTTCAGCCCATTACTACCTCCATTTAACTATCAAACACCTTAATTCCTCAATGGAACTGCATCTACATCTGTTTTGGGCCCAGTGTCCTTCAACATCTTCATCAATGATTTGGATGAGGGGATAGATGGGGAACTCATCAAATTTGCAGATGACACCAAGCTGGCAGGAATAGCCAACATGCCAGAAGACAGGCTTAAGATACAGAAGGATCTTGACAGACTTGAACATTAGGCACTATCTAACAAAATGAAATTAAATGGTGAAAAAAGTAAGGTTCTACATTTAGGCAAGAAAATACACAGGTACAGTATAGGTGGCACCTTGCTCAATAGTAGTAACTGTGAGAGGGATGTTGGAATCCTAGTGGACAATCACTTAAATATAAGCCAGCAGTTTGCTACAACTGCCAAAAAAACAACAACATAGTGCTAGGCTGCATTAACAGAGGGATAGAATCAAGATCATGTGAAGTGTGAATACCAATTTATAACACCTTGGTATGGCCACACTTGGAATACTGCATCCAGTTTTGGTCACCGAGATGTAAAAAAGTTGTTAAGACTCTAGAAAGAGTACAGAGAAGGGCAACAAAGATGATCAGGAGACTGGAGACTAAAACATATAAAGAATGCTTGCTGGAATTGGATATGTCTAGTTTAATGAAAAGAAGTAGTAGCGGTGACATGATAGCAGTGTTCCAATATCTCAGAGATTGCCATAAAGAAGAGGGAGTCAGACTATTGTCCAAAACACCTGAAGGTAAGACAAGAAGCAATGGATAGAAACTAATCAAAGAGAGAAGCAACCTAGAAATAAGGAGAAATTTCCTAACAGTTAGAACAATTAATCAGTGGAACAACCTGCCTCCGGAAGTTGTGAATGCTCCAACACTGGAAGTTTTAAAGAAGAGACTGGACAGCCATTTATCAGAAATGATATAGGGTTTCCTGCCTGAGCAGGGAATTGGACTAGAAAACCTCCAAGGTCCCTTCCACCACCACCACCACCACCACCACCATCATCATCATCATCAATTATGAGTTCTGATACAGATGGAAAGATGAAATAAAGTTACATGTTATGAGCATACTGATATCACTGAACACTGAAATCTCTGAATGACTATTGCCAGGAATACCATGTAATAATTTGAGCACAAAACAGAAAAAAATAAAAGAATCTATGGAATTAAAAACATAAACTCCACGAGGCTCTCAACTATCATTCCCTAATAGTGACCGTGAGACAGTGTAAGACTGAATTCAATTCTCAATCATTAATACACCCCAGCAATATTCTATTATTATTAAAATTCACTGAGAAATCCATATCACCATTATTGAGAAATCTATGAAAATCGACAAGATAGCACGCCTTATCTCTCTCCCCAAAATGATTATTAACCAGTGCAACTAAACCCATTTCAGTTAGATATCTAAAAATATTTAAAGTGCAATTTATTATTTTAAACCATTTATTGTAAGTTCCTTTGGAGATCATAACTATTTAATAATAATAATAATAATAATAATAATAATAATAATAATAATAATAATAATAATAATGTTTAAAAAATTAAATTTAAATTGAGTTATCCTAGAAGAAACTTCAGAGATACCATAAAAGGATAAGGCACAGTTTCATTAAAGAGCTGCTGACAAGTACTATGAAAGCATTCAGATAGTATCTGAAGCTTTTTTCCTGACTCAATCTGAATGCATGCATGCCCATATGTTGAATATGTATTGCACTAAGCAAAGCTTTGCTATTACTGGAGGACGGGATGGAATAATAATTTGCTGTGATTCTACCTTTATTCACAGAAGGATGAGACATAAGGTCTGGAGGCTTTGGTAGTGAGATTCAGGCACAGACATCATATTTTTGCATCCCTGTATAAATCTGGAAACAGAAGGAACTACTGAGTTGATATTTGCTACAGCTGCAGCAATACCATTGCAGATGTTTTCTGCAGCAAACTGTGAGGATACTAAGATGACGACATCACACAAATGTCACATGACATACTTGATTATTTATATGTCAGATGCATTTTGTAGCATTTATGTGATAATGATGATGATGTCATGCATATGTTGCAATTTGACCACTTTTCCTTTTCAGGACAGGGAGTTATTCATCAACTCACATTCCAATCTGCATCATAATGATACAATATACCACAACTACATTATCAAAGATCACACTGCAAATGATGAAACCAAAGAAAGCCTGATCAGATGGATTTCTTGTTGACTTTTTATAGATCTACTCAGGCCTTTTTTTTGTCATAGAACGCACTGAAACTCCGTTCTGGCACCTTTTTTTTGACAGATTTTCCAGAGTTGCATTCTTTTCCTATTGTTTCCCTTCCTATCCTCGTTTGCTTTTGAAAACGCCCCACTGGCGATACAGTGAGAGCAGGGTCCCCTCCAGTGCTGTCTGCCTCCTCTAGGTGGAGCCATAAGCCACTGGAGTACCACAGCCAGAGCGTGCCTTGATTGGCTGGGTTGGATCATGTGGTGTGGAAGCCCATGGTGATGGTGGGAGACATAAACATGGAAGCCATCTTTCACAAGAGGGTGAGTGAGCCTTTTGCCTTCCCTTACAGAAGGTGGACTGTGAGGTTAAAAAGAGGCGAAGCGAGAGGAAAGAAAGGCGGCTGGCGTGGAAGCTTGCCCAACAGCGAAACTTTGCTGTTTTGGTTCCTTGGGTAGTTCAAAGGCTGGGATGTCTACGAAAATCTCTTTTTAGTCTTTTATACTTTATATTCAAAATGCAGAGGGGAAGAATAAGAATAAAGCCAATGTCTTGTGATTTGGAGGTATTATTAATAATAATAATAATAATAATAATAATAATAATATATATTAATTTAATCAGATATAAAGGTGAACCTACAGTATGAGGTTTAATCAGATCTATTTATTAAATTGAGTTTAACTTAAAGGTAAATTAAAAGTAATCTGTTCACTGGCAAAGTTTCAACTTTTATTTGTTTCAAGTCAATATCCATATTAAACTCCAAAAGTAATTTTTTCCACCTTGTTTGACAACTTCTTAAAAATAATTCAATCTTTTACAAGCAACCAAATTTTGTTTTATTGGGCCAATTTCATTCCACATAGAAAGCTGACATTTCCACTCATTAAACTAAATGGGTATGCCAGTGGTAAATGTCCCAAAAGATTAATAAAATGCCTTCTTGTAATTTAAAGTCACACAGTGCATGGTAACATTAATAGTATTAACTTACCTTGAACAAAAATCCTAGTCTTTTAAATACACTATGTATGACATGTGTGAGTTCCGGCACCTTTTTTTTTTTTTTTTTACAAAAAAAGCACTGGATCTACTGGGGCATTTATTTTGTTATATGTCTATAATCAATCATCAGTATCTAAATATTTCCTTCATTATTTTATGAGGACAGTATTACAGAAATATTAAAATCTGACCGAAAGAATCTAGAAGATATGGAAGCTATAGGCCGATTTCTATATGCTAAAATAATGTATGCTATAGCAAAGCAATATCTATGCTAAAATATTAACTACAACACTTAGCAACAGAAAATAATACCATCTTCAATGCGTCTAGATTAATTGTATTCATAAAAAATAAAATATTTTTAATAACAACTTTATTAAAATTTACAAATGCAAAGGTAAAAAACTAATAGAAACTAAGGACAATAAAAAAGAAAAGAAAAGCCCAAAGGGGCAGGAAAAAAAGAAGACATATAAAAGATAATTCCCTATATTCTCCAGACAAGTTTCAGTAACTTAACACCTTCTCTAGTATTTCAATTTCAGAAAAGCATCTTTTCTTCCTATTTCTTATTCCTTATCAATAATCAAATTGTAAAAAAAATCATCATTTAATTCTAATCGGCAAAAGTCTATTAAGAACTACGAGAAATAGTAAAACACACACAGAGAGACACAGAAATATATATTTGCAATAGCCTTACTAAAAAAATCAATTTTGTAACTCAACTGATCACTTTAACTAAGAAATAAAGCAAAAGAAATCTCTGTCGACTTACACAGATCTGTGTCATTCTGTCCTGGTCAAAAAATATCTCCGAGCCTCAAGAAACTACAGCATATATATTTTAACCCTGACTGAATACGTTCAGTTTGATCTTTTAAAAATTAAATAATGTCCCACAAGTTGATTTCTTATCATTTTCTCTTTGTTTTCTCTCAGAAACAAATTGGTTTCACAAATTCGTTTTGCAAATCCAAAACAGGTAGCCTTTTTATATCTCTCTTCTGATTTATTATTTGCATGTCCCCTTTAATTATTAAGAAATCTATTTTCATTTGTAATTCCATTTTGGCATCACTTACTGTATGATCTGCCATTTTTAAGTCCATTTACTGATACACAGCATCTTTTCTCTTTTGTAATCCAGCATTTTTTAAAATTCTAAATCCATATTCAAATCAGTTAGCTTTATACAATAAAATCTGAGGTTCTTCTATAGTTTTTATTATAGTTTAAACCAGGCATATCAAACTGCCGGCCCATGGGCCATATGCGTCACACCAAAACCGCACCCACCCCATTCCCGGCAATAGGGAAA